ACGAAACACAATGTTTAAATATTAACTTCTCGAACATGGTATGATACGATATCGTAATCCATATGTTATTTCTTGCATCATCGTTGCTTTGCCTTCAGCGCCGTGGTTTATAGCGTCTTCATATTATAACGCGATTAAGACGTCTACCGCATTTGTATACGCGTTGTGAATGAACTAGCATTGTAATCGGATAGATTATAGTGGAAACGTTTACATTGACGTTACAAAATAAGACACTCGACATGTTTGCTAAAGTGAAATATTTTGATCATATTAATTTTACGCAATTTAATGAAATAAAAATGAACGTAGTTAATCACTCTTTTCAATATAATCATATTCATTGAACAACAAAATTAATAACCAATGTTCATCGTGAAGAATATATCATGTATACAAGATCTTTTAAAAGGATCTAAATTGATTAATCTCGCTTTCTGAAAATCAAACGATTTATCTTAACATTGAACAATTGCGTACATCACTGTTTGTCAAATTGGAGTAATTTGATTCGTGTACAAAATAGCAAAGTGATCGATTAAGAGTGGTAATTGTCTGCGATGTGTTAACGTGCATGATGTCGAGGTAAAAGAACACACACCTCGTTCAAGTACCGTAAGAACGACCTTGCCTCGAAATGGTGAAACAGTCCTGGTGCACCACAATAAAATACCTCGATTCTTTTGCACTTGGTGCCTACGAGGGAAAGAAGAGAAAGAGAGAAATCGAGAACGAGGACACCATTTTCAACCAAGGAACGGATCTTAAAGAAACCTACCTTCTTCTTTACGCGCCACATCACGATCCAAATAAATCAATTAGATCGTAAACGAATTCCTATTAATAATTATGACACGTTTCGTTAATGGTTTATACGATCTAAATGTTAAATCGTCTCCGATTTAACACCGGTCACAGTCATGATGTTTCGCAATGTCATCGAAATCTTTCATAATAGTACGTAACCACTCACGTATTCTCGCGATCAGAGCAGGAAATTGCGATGACGACTCGATTTAACAAAGAAATTATCTCATCCGCGTTTCCAATTTACCAAGAAATTCAATTTAGAAATCGACAAAGGCCGATTAAATTACCATAAATTTGCTTGAAGAAGAAACAAACAAGAATCAAAGAGAAAAGAAGAAGAAGAAACTTCATCGAGTATCTTCATCAAGAGTCAGAGTAATCAATTCGTCTCGCCCTTGTGTCACCTACTCCCTTGGATGGGGGGCTCCATTTTTGCATCCTATCCTATACGAGGTAGCCGGAATATAAAATTACGAGGCGGGTAATCCGAACCTGTACACGTAAACCGAGCAGATAATTCGAGTTAAGTGGGATAAGTCTCGTTGCTCGGATTTTGTGCCCTGGTGACTCGGTCGCCGATCAGGGGGTAGATGTTAAAAAAATATCGAGAGACGTGTTCGTGCGTTCGTGCCCACGCGCGTTACTGGCCTCGCTCTCTCGCTCTCTCCTCTCCGACCTCTCCACGTTTCTCTTCTTCCACACCATGCGGCCAGACTCCTACGGAATGGTACGTGTCGTAACCAACTATAAACATCGGCACCTGCGGGCCTGTCACCTTTCCTTCTAGCCGTGCCGCCGATATTGCTTTTCTGCGGACTCTGCGAAACTCGTACAGATCGGTCCACGAAACGAAAATGCTAAGGAATCGCGCGCACCGAGAATTTTCTTAGGCTTCCCGCGGCGACGAGTTCCATACAAGAAAAAATGCCTACCTGTGGTGAAAAGAAAGAGAGAGAGAGAGAGAGAGAGAGAGAGAGAGACAGAGAGAGAAAGAAAGAGAGACTTATGTGAGAACGACGATGGGATCCGATCGTGGGATCGTGCAATATTCATATACACGGTTTATCGGTTTCGTTAATTAAAACGAGAGATGAGGGAAACGAGGCCGAGACGCATGGCCGCAACGATGGTCGCGAGGGTCTGTTTCGATTTCGTAGAACCGGCGCAAGAAGAATGTAGTCTTGTCATCGGCTTACTGATGTACGGTACTTTCGAGTTCTCGACTTTTTTCCGCGCTCTTCCCTTGCTCGCGTACACGCACGTGTCCATCCGATGAACGTTAATTATGCGAGCGTACATACAGCTCGACAGCTTTCCTTTTATTCCTTTTACCTCTCACTTATAAATCGAATATCCTGCATCCTATATATATATATATATGTATATATACATATTCGTTGCGATGCAATTTAGAAATCACAATCGCGCGACAGCCGTCCCTATGTACTGTGCGATGTCGTGCCATTCCAACGCCAGCGGCGTTTCCCACATGCAAAACACGTTAAATCTCTGGCGGAAGATAAAAAGCGCGAATAGAACGTGTCTCGCTCCGCGTTGTCCAAAACGCCACGCGGAGATATACGGCGCTCGTTCCGTACAGAGAATATAAATTTTACCCGATTTTTAGCCAAATGCTGCCTCTAAACAGTCGGGCCCGATGCGATCGTAAGATATCCACGGGAAGTGTCTCGTAACGCTGATGTATCTGTATTGTGGTTAAACGCGCCATTTATAAGCGCTCGCATCCGTTTAAGCGGTGAACGAGCGAGCGTTGTCACATACACTCGTGTGTATGCAGGCGTCGCAATGCATTTCACTTACTTCGCTCGGTTAGAATGTCGACCTTTCGCCCCCACCGATGTTATTCAACCGAGTGTGATTCCGTGCAAACGGGGGCCGAGATGTTCGAGACACCCGGTACGTATTTACTTTTTGGTACAGAACCGAAATGCTGTTCGACGAGCACCTGTACTCGTCCACGGTAACTTGTCAAACTGGAAGGGCAAAGAAAGGGCCACCTAACAAAAGGGGCCCTCTCCTCCGTCGCCGGATTTTTCTTTACCTGTTTCCCACCTTCTCCTGGATGAGTCTCCGATTTTTACGTACCTGGCTACGTGAAATCGGCGAACACCGAGTCTTTTCGATCCTGTCTTCAACAATGTTCACAAATTCGAGGAACAGCTTAAGATAATTTTTGATTCGATCGATATCGAATCGTGTTCTGTCTGTCGAGACAGAAAATTACGTTGATCAAAGTGTGGGTAGATGTATATATATATATATATATATATATATATATATTGGTAGTCGTATGAAATTATCGTCATTAAACACATAAGGGACATATCTTCTAGATACGAGTTATCGCGTTGTCGCACGAGCAACGAGTAAGCATTATAGTTGAAATCTTCTTTCACCGGAAGTAGCCTTCTGTTATGTTCCTCTATAGAAAAACCGTTCGATTGTTCGATGCGAAAATTGCATTTCGATGGTATATGCATTATGTGCACGAAGAAATTGTTCGTTTATTAAAAGATTGTTTTTAATTGTAATTAATAATTGAATAATATGAAAAAAAGTTTATCCCGATTTAACACCTACATAAAAAGAACTAATTTAGTTGGGGATTATAGGACGAGATTTAATGAAGGTATATAGAGGGTCGGGCGAGAATAAAATACTCGAGAGATCCTTTTTAAGATCAGAGAGATCAGAGGTTGTATACGTGGAAGTAGAAAGCCGGCTTCGAAAAATCGGATGGTGGAAACACCGAGTTAAAATAAGCCTCTGACTCGTTCTCTGTCGTGCGATCAGAGAAAGAAACGAGACGGAAATGTCGTCTTCATAAGACTCTACCGAAAATATACCAAAGCTTAATAGAAAACGAGCTGGCGCGTACCACGAGTTTATACGCTCATTTCTAAACAAGCGGCAAATGGATGAAAAAGGGAGACCCAGATCTTTCGTAGGTGTAAATTACAGTAGCTTGTAAACGAATCTAATAAAAATAAACCAATAAAAAAACGAAGGTAAGAATAATTTTATTTTAACTATATAAAAGAAATTCAGGTTGATAATTTTGTCAATAAGCAAATTTTCTTAAACTGCTAACTTCATTTCGGAGAATTGCGTTTCTTCGAACATAACATCAAGCGTATAAATTATTATTGAGATCGATCGATAGATATAGAACTTAGCCTTGAATTTCACGGACAATTTGCAAAGAATTGTATCAGGTCTTTTTAAGACAGTTGAAACAGGCTGCCTTGCGATATATATTCACTTGTCTATTCGGCCGTGTATACGTGGGTTACGGTATACGCTCAATTGATCGAAATTGGCTAATTCGTCGAGGCTGAAACTATCGTACTCCCAACCTGGCTAATTATCCGGTGTATTGACCGGCAGTAGTTCTCATATCGAGTAAGTCAAAGTGAGAAATTCCAACGTGAAGATTCTTAATTGTAGAATAAGTGTAAATTACGAAGTAATTAAAGAGTAAAAAGAAGAGCAAGATATCCGTAGAATTAAAATTAGTCCTCTTGTAGCAATTCAGGAGGGAATCGGATACCAAATAGGTTATGCTTATCTACGACGAAAGTGACTGTATGGTATCCGTTTTACATGCGACGAGACATAGGAATCGCTTGCCGGTCTCACGTGTCTCTCGTCTTTCTACGGAGCTGTGGGAGCTCCTTTAGCATATAAAGGAGTCGGTGATCGCGTCCATACGTCCGTCGTCATGGCGAAACTAGTTCGCCCATCCAGTTTTTCCACTCCCGTGCACGCTTCAGTCGTGCTCTCTTCGATGGTGGGAGACCACATCTCGAGCAATCGCGTTCCTTGCAACGACACGCTAATCCCACAACTTGTTGCTATTCCGTCACATTAAGATCTATCGATCATTCTAACAGAAATTTCATTCGATATTCATTTTTCAGAAATAATGCATAAACCAGTCCTTTTCTTAAAAATATAATTCTTACGAGATAGAATTTTTTTATTTGACTTTTCAATATGGACCTGCATACAGGTTATCACGTGACGATTCTGTTTATCACGTGTCATAAATAATTCGTGAACGATCGTTCGAATTTTCAATTTCTACACGTTCTTTTCAATTATTCGACATTAAGAAATATAATATGTCAGTCATAAGCGATATTAAAAGAAACGGAATGTAGACTCACCGAGATCTTCGACCAGTCGAAGCATGACACCGCCAATATGAAGTTCTCCTTTTACTCGTAAGCTTCTCTCTACTTGAAGATCGGTCACGTAAACGCGCAGCACCCAGCTGCCGTCTACCTCGTGACCATCAGAATACATGTTTCCCGATCGAATGATCGTACGTCAAAAAACAGAATATGAAAAAACACGTACTTTGCCGCGTATGCACCTTCAGTTCCAGACACTTGAGTACAAGAAAAAAGTTTGTTTAAGGCGCGGAAATCATGATTTCGCGGCACTTGACATCGCCGCGAATACACTTTTGGAGTTAATCGTCACTTGATAAGAAACAAATTGTATTAATTTATTGGGTCCACCACAGTACTATACGATGGAATCTCACAATTTTTTAGAACGATCCGGTCAAGTGTGCGCACTTGCGATACACTGGCTGCCTTGATCGGCTCGCATGAATCCGTTCCGAATAATATGTAGAGGCGCTTCAGTCGACAGTCTCACGTCCCAGCTGGTTTCTCGACTGGTGTCGACCATGCACTCTCAGCTCGGCTACACTCTTGCCGAGAATAGAACTATTTACAAGTGACGCGCGCTTGGAATGCGCGCGCAGATCTCTCCCCCGTCCTCTTTACCATCAAGCGTCGCGCCCCGCGCGCGGTAACCCGTCACACAACTTGGTTTCCTTTCCCTCCGACAGTCTACCGACATCGAAGCTGTTTTGTCGTTTTTCCTTTCCTATTTCATTGCCTTTGAATACTTGTTGTCCTTCTCGATCTCTTCATGGATAGTGTTTGTATCAACTGTCTCTTTTCTTTCTTTACTGATGCGCTTATTTCTCTATATTGGTACACCGTATCTCTGAGAATTTACCAGACTTTATGCAGATTTCACTCCTCCAAATATTGTATGCTTAAAATACTTCTAAAATAATGTATTAATGATTTTTTAAATTGACGTAAGGTTTTTTAAAGTGACGTAAGCTGAATATGTGATTCAAAATAATTTTGATATATATAGGACGAAAATTATATACATTTTTCGTGAAATGTTATTTCATAACATTTTATAAAAAGTTTTATAAATCGCAAATTTTAAATCATTTTTAATACAATGATATATTGAAATATTTGAACATTTTCAACAATTTTCTTAAATTTTTTTAAATTTGCAAATTTATAAATTCAATTTCGATTAAATATCATAATGAATTCAAAATTTTAATGCTATATATGTTATAAAATTATCGCTGAATATTTTGTCATAGACTAAATATAAGAATAGACTAATCATGCGATGTATTTTTATGGCTCAAATTTTAAGGTTTTGGAACCCCATTATCATTTTCATGTCATTCACATCATTACCAACAGAACACAGAATCTGATTATGGCGGGATTCCGAGCGTTTATTTTCACAGGAAATATAAAATCAAATGGACGACATATGTTTTAAAACAATTGTCTAAGATTATTTGACAAAATAACAGCGAAAAAGAAAAATTCAGGTTTATGAAATTCATATATGTATATGTCCTAATATATTAATAATATTAGAATTACCAGAATAAGAGAAATTTAATTAAATCAACCTATCTCGTGTCAAAAAACATATATATCAAAATATAATATTATGTTTTATCAAATCATTGTTTTAAAAATATATTGTAAAACCAATAATATTGTAAAATCAATCAAAATTTCCTACATAAAAGATTAAGATATATTTTTTGAAAGAGAAATGATGAGAATATTCTATATTAAAAGCAAATATAGACAAGAGCAAATAATAAGGAGACAGATAAAATAAAAATTAAGGAATTAACGCCATCTCTAGAATGCCATAAACAAAATTAAATGTAGGTAAAAAAAAAAAAAAAAAAAAAATAATGGATAAATATAAAATAAGAATTGAACACTAAGCGCCATCTCTTGAGTATTTTAAAAAAAAATATTTTTAAACTCAAAAGATGACATTAACATTCAATTCTTATTCTATCTCTATTTTTGTATTATTTAATCTTTTATCTATATTAATTTCATTTACAACTTTAAAAATAGCGTTAATTTTTATTCTATCTTTATTCTTTTTTCACTATTTGCTTTCCTTATCTATATTTGTTTTATAATATTTCTGCAACATACATTATGAACTCTGTTTTGCTATAGTTTTATATATTGAAGCTAAAAGTATAGATGATAATACTTCAAATATTTAATATTTATAAATTTTAAAAATAAAGTTCGTAATAGTTTGGCAGAAAAACTTTTTATAATATTACATAAACAAACGTAAGATTATTTATTTGATTATAACATATTTGTTTGATTAAAATTAAAAGTATAATTTAAGGTTAGAATTTAATGAAGATTTTTATACTGGTTATCTGCATTTTTTTTTCACAAAGGTGAAATTTATATAAAGATTGGTTGTTATTTTGATGATATTTAATACAATGATTGTTCATCTCAAAAAATTTATTCCATCATTCTGCAAACTGGATAATCTTGGAAAAGTACAAACAAAATTTGTTAGATATAATTCTTCACAATCTTCACCCAGAATCTTAGAACAACTGAAAAATAAAAGCTTATTACGGGTTAGAGGGAATGAAGTTTTAATTTTCTTACAAGGATTGATTACAAATGATATGAAACATTTTGAAGAAGGGGCAGCAAATTTATATGCATTATTTCTAAATACTAAGGGTAGAGTTATGTATGATGTTATTATCTATAGAAGTCAAGAAGATAATGTGTACTATATTGAATGTGACTCACAAGCTGCAGAACAATTACAAAAACATTTAAAAATGTATCGAGTTAGAAGGAAAATAGATATAGATCATTTAGAAGATAATGTAAATGTTTGGGCATTCTTCGATCCTATTCAATATATGAATAATAAACATATTAATAATAGGCAAAAGCTTGAAGGTTTAATATTTCCATGTGGTACTCTTAATAATAAAGTAAGCAAAATAGTTGATAATATTATGATTTATGAAGATCCTAGATTATCTGATTTAGGTATCAGAATTTTAGCAGCATCAGAAATTGAAAGACATAAAATAATAAAACATTTAAACTCAAATGCATTGGATTCTGCTAATCATTTGAGTTACAAAGCATTTCGTTATAAACTTGGTGTTCCAGAAGGTATTGAAGATTTACCACCAGGAAAACCATTACCATTAGAAGTAAACTGTGATTATTTGCATGGTGTTAGTTTTCATAAAGGTTGTTACATTGGTCAAGAACTTACAGCACGTACCTATCATACTGGTGTTGTAAGGAAACGTTTGATGCCTCTATTATTTAATGAAATTCCTAATAAATCTTTTTCATATGATGAAAAAATTATTAATGAAACTGGTAATGTAGTAGGTAAATTTAGAGGAATTGAAAATCAGTATGGATTAGGTTTAATGCGAATCAATGATTCTCTGAATGCCCAATCACTTACTATATCAAATATTAAGTTAAAAGTATCAAAACCTATTTGGTGGCCACAAGAATTGCAAAAGCAAATTGTTTCCGTTAATAAAACAGAATGAATAATATTATTTTTTAAATTAAATATAAAATTGTAATGTATAAATGTAAAATAAATATATTATCAGAAAAAATTATATATTATTTTCCATCAATTTTACTTTATAGGATGGAACCTATTGCTAGCACATCTACGGAAGAAATTCATAACATTGAGCAAAATCAAGATTTAACACCCACAGTTCAGAATTCTAAAGAAACCATAACTGGAATATTTAAATGTTCTTATTGTTCATTAGAAGAACGATTTGATTTCAAAGGCATTAAAGCACCATTTGCACGACAATTAACCTATTTAGAAGAATGTTATATTATGAAAGATCCTTTTAGTTTACCAAACAAAGGAGAAGTTTTAGTATTAGGTGCCGATTGTAATTTTTGTAAGAAATCTGTATGTCTAGGATGCAGTATATATTTCGGGAAAAGATTTTGTTTAAAATGTGCATCAAATAATATACAAAATTTGCCACCACAACTTCATGCTAAAATAAAAAATTTAATAAAAGAAAAAGATTCATAAAAATAATATTTTATTAAACATTAAATACGTCCTTTTTTTCTCTTTCGCGTTTGAGAAATACATACTGATGAAAGTTTTAAAAACGTTTAACTGTTTTGATTCAATAAGATAATGCAACTTATCATTCTTATAAGTTACAATGAGTTACATATATGTATTAAAATTAATTAAAATTATTTTTTATGAAAACATTTGATATCATTATATTTCTTACTCTGCTATTTAATTTGATGGCTTTTTAGATTTAGCTGTAAGTTTTTCTGCCAGAAGTTTTTTCTTTTTTTCAAATTTAGTAGGTTTCTTCTTTTTTTTATTTGCATCAGCTTTTTGGCCCTGAAATTTGTTTCCTTGTTGTAAATTAGTTTGTTTTTTTTCAAGATTTTTTCCCTTTTCACTTATTCTTTTCATAGCATTTTCTTTATTACGAACCTAAAAAAATATGAATATTATTAATATTTTATTAAGTAAAATAATTTAAACAAATATTTTAAATTACAAATATTTTTTAACATATAAAATAACATACTGATGTTGGTACTTCAATATCATTTTTTAATTTTTTATTTGATGTTTGGGTATTTTCTGTAGAAAGTGATCTTTTTCTATATTTGTCTTTCTTCTTTTTATATTGATCAATAACTGGTTTTACTCTAACTTCTCTATTTGAAATTGTTGTACCATCAAGTTCTAATGCTAATGTCACTGCATCTTCATTCTTAAAATTAACATATCCAAATCCTTTGCCTACTCCAGTTTTGTTGTCTCTAACTACTCGTACAGATTCTATTTCACCACACTGTTTAAAGTGTTTTACAATTGTATTATCATCAATATCTGAAAATTATAATATATAATATTAATATATAATCTTGTGATTACTTTTTATTACTATTATATTATTACATATATTATACTTACTATAATGTAAATTTCCTAGGAATATACTTTTTTTTGAATCAAATTTATTCTCTGATTTATTAGATGCATTTACTCTTAAATAATTTCCTTCAAATTCTGTTCCATTTATAGATAAAGATTCTTTAACAGATTCTTTAGATACAAATTTAATATATGCATAAACTGATTTCAATTTAGGATGTAATTCATTTTTAATAGCTGCAACTCTTTTAGGTACATTTACGGATTTTGCTATTTTACCTCTTAAACGTATTGTATCAATTTTTCCAAATTGCTTGAATAATTTTTTCAATTTTTTCTTCGTTACATCTTTTGGAAGATTACCAACAAAAATTGTTTTTTCATCTTCTTTTATTTCCTCTAAAGAAGTATCCATACTTATTTTATTATTTTTATTTGATGAAGAATTTTTTTGTACCTTATTTTCTTCTTCTCCTTCTTCTTCCTCTTCTTCATCACTTATATCATCATCTTCATCATTTTCATCTGGTTCAACAAAATCTTCATCATCATCATCATCCTCAGCAATACTGTTACTCAAGAGGGCTTTTAG